TTCTAAGTTCAAGAGATTTAATATCCTGCAAGAATATTTCTTGTTATAATCTTCCGCTCAAATGACCAGAAGCAGTAGAAAGCTGGAGAAAGGAAAAGTTGGAAGAAGCAAGGAAGTTAATCACAGAACAAACTATTGAAAATTCAACTCTTTCTTCTGAAGAAGCTGGTATGGAAGTTCTGTAACAGTGTAGCTTTTTCTTTTTTGTTATATTGTGCTAGAAAGTCATACCTGAGATGCAGACCTGTGAAAGACACCCGATAACCTCGTTGGACCGATGCCAATAAACTTTTTTCCTATTCTGGTAGGGATTCTAGTAAAAGCCTTGGAGACTGATTGGGCAGTACTGGCTGAAGAAATTGGTGTGTGGATACCAGCGGAGATCTTCAACAGGGAGCATGATGATAAGCCTGAAGACGCAGATGAATTCGGTAAATTTTTGTGACTCCCTAGAGCGACATTTTGTGCACCGTATTTATTGATTTTGTCTAGCTAAAATCTCAGTTTATATTTCACTAAAATGTTCATTCCCCCGCTTTATGCAGATGGTGAAGTTTTACCTGGCAGGCCACTTCCACCTGAATGTAACGCCGAGCTCCATACAGATTACGGTGGTGCTGCTGTAAGATGGGGCCTAACACATCATAAACAAAGTGCAGCGGATTGCTGTCAGGCTTGCTTGGATCATGTGAAACGAGCGCAACCAGGTGGACGAAAATGCAATATCTGGGTTTACTGTCCATCCGAGACTGGATGCCACTCTCCTGATATCTATGAGCATAAATATATGGAGTGCTGGCTGAAATATGTAAGCTCCAAACTGTTTTTGTGATGGTAAATCTCTTTTGTAGGCTCACTTGAATCTAACTTTTCAAATCTTCAAATTCAAATGCAGGCAGAAACTCCAAAACTGAATTTCAAGACCAACTATCCCCAATCTTACAGAAACTCACACCCGACCGCCCCGCTGGTCGTCCCTTGGGTCTCTGGTGTTATTAGTGTTTAATTGTACGACAAATCAGGCAAGAAACTTCCACTACAATGATTGTGACTTCCCTTGTCTTTCTTACATTTGAGCATCATTGTCCATAGAGTTGTATGAATGTTCTGTTTGATTCATATCTGGCTTACTTTCATGTAACACGGGTTTTGGCGAACTTGGTGCCACCACTTCATATCGACGAGTCGAGGGCCGAGAGGTGATGGAGGTAACATGAAAAAGAAAGGCTACTTTTTTGCTAATAACATTGGAATTGATTTATTATGCTCAGGATGCCAATTTCTTAGCTCTGAGCTTACTCTCCAATGTATTTAGGGTATATGATGAGGCTCCAAATGTTTGGAAAAGCACCACCACTAATCAACATTGATGTTTCAGATAATGGCATAAGCATTTGTTTAGGTTTAATATCTGTATAGCGACCAAAAATTTTGGGTTGTGATATTTTTTAAACCCGACCAAAAGGTGGAGAGTTGTAAAGAGTCGATAAAAGTACGCTACTTTCGTAAAACGTATATTTATTTAGTTTCAAACTTCTAATAAATATTTGCCATTCAAAGTTGATATATATTTTAAGAAATTACTTTTTTAGAGTCGTAGAAGAATAAATAATTATAAAATGAAATAAAAATAGAAGATATTGTAAGCAATTTTTTTAATTAACAATTAAATTGAATTGAATTTGTTCGATGAAAGTCCCGCATCAGTTAATTTAGGGAATAATAATGGGTTTATAATCAAATGATACTACCTGCATTGGTGTGAGGCCTTTTGGAGAAACTCAAAGGAAAGTCATGAGAGTTTATGCTCAAAGTAGACAATATCATACATTGTGAGAGTCGTGTTCATCTAATATAGTATCAGAGGTCATGTCGTAAATCCTCAAATGTCAAAGTAGAATCCTCAAATGTCGAAGTTGTAGTCAAACAATGACTAAGACTACAAAAAAAAAAGAAATCGAGTCTCGATTAAAAGGAGGTGTCAGATTGACGTTACAGATCGATTATTTTAGGAAAGCTCATTCCATGTCAAAAAAATTTCCGGTGAAATTCCTAAATTTTGATATTTGGAATAATAATAATAATAATGAAGGGATAACCAAGCCCATCTTCAGCGGCCCACCTTCCGAATAAAAAAAAATTAAAAATAAATAAATAAAACAACCCCTCTGCCTTATGCCTTCCATCGTCACGCCTGCTCCCCGTTCCGTCGCGCTTAGCGCCGTTGCCGCATTCCCTCTCCACCGATCTTCTTCTATCTTTCGTCAGTCTCAGGTATTCTCTCTCTCCCCCCATATTTGTCTTTCAAGTTTCATTTCTTACAACGGATGAACGTCTGCAAGCTCAAACGAATCGGAAGATCGGTTCGATTCAAAATCGATTTTGCCTAATCATTAACATTCTTATAATCAAGATTATTGGTTTCGTTATTTGTTTAGCCAAAAACTATAGAAACCTAAGCTTCATGATTCTGCTAAATGATAGTTTATGCGAAGAGAGAAGATCGAGTGGAATGTCCAGTAAGTGTATACGAGTATAAATTTTAACAATTCTGGGTTTAGTGGTTTGCTTTTATGAACTGTTTAATAGAGCTACGCTACCATCCTTTAGTTTGTAAATATTGAAGTTATTATGTATTAACTTCCTAACAGTACCTTAATGGTATTTATGTGGATTTGATAACCATTTTGATTTCTTAACTTTTATCCATCATAGATTTATCTTTCTTCCTAAAACATTTGAGTTATGAGCTAAATTTAAAACTAAATAGTGATAGGATAAAATGAGTGTAACAGCCCAAGTCCACCATCTGCTGATATTATTCTCTTTGAACTTTCCCTTTCAAGCTTCCCCTCAAGGTTTTTAGAACGTGTCTACTAGAGAGAAGTTTCCACACTCTTATAAAAAATGTTTCATTCTCTTCCCGAACCGATGTAGGATATCACAATCCACCCCCCATTCGGGACCCAACGTCCTCATTGGCACTCATTTTCTTCTCCAATCGATGTGGGACCTCCCAATTCACCCCCTTCGAGGCCCAACGTCCTTGCTGGCACACTACCTCGTGTCCATCCCCTGAACTTGGTGTCTGGCTCTGATACCATTTGTAACAGCCCAAGCTCACCACTAGCAGATATTGTCTTCTTTGAGCTTTCTCTTCTGGGCTTCCCCTCGAGATTCCTAGAATGCATCTGATAGGGAAAGGTTTTCACGCTCTTATAAAAAATGTTTCGTTCTCTTCCCCAACCAATGTGAGATATCTCAGCGAGTTAGTTTGATTTTAGGAATTTGATATTATGTATTCCATCAAGTTTGTTGTCATTATGCTTATAATTTCCATTGCACATATCTCAAGGTGTTTAGAAATTGAAGCCATTGCAAATGAGTTCAAGCAGTGGCTCCATTGGTGAAACTTATTATGATGTACTGTCTTTGAGAGAAGATGCTAGCCATGACGAAATTCGAGCTAGCTACCGGTCTGCCCTCCTTAACTTCCACCCTGATAAGTTACAAGCTATGTGCCAGAAATCTCATCCAAACGATGTTGTGGGAGAACGATACTTCAAGGTGCAGAAGGCTTGGGAAGTCCTCGGCAGCTCGATGTCTCGTGCAGCTTATGACAGAGAGCTCCAAGCTGCCAAAGGGGAGGCAATGGGTGCAGAGAGCATAGGCTTAGAGGATATGGCTGTGGAAGATAAAGGTGAAGTTGTAGAACTCCTTTATCAGTGTCGCTGTGGTGATTACTTCTTTATTGATTCTGGGGAGTTGGAGGAAATGGGATATCCAATGTTGAGGATTGGGAGTAAGGTTTCCTTAAGAACTTTGGATGCGTTGCCTGCATCTATTGTTTTGCCGTGTGGTTCGTGTTCTTTGAAAGTTCGTTTGTTAATCGATTCGGATTCGTGTGTTTCAATTGATTGTTGAGTTTGAATGATTGAAATCATATTGCTTTGTTTTAAGCTCCATGGGATTTCTTTCTTGAAAGATTGTGATGTTTGAGAGAGTTTATGAATATCTTGTGCTGTTGGTGGAGTTTGCATGGGTTTTCTTAAGTGCAACTTTGTTTAGTGAAGCCGAACGTCACGAGTTGGCCTCGTTCTGGATATAGCCCTATTTAGATTAGTTCAATTTTTGTAACGCTCGCCCATTGGTATACATTCATATTTGATTTGAAACTCATACACATCAAAATCAAAATAGCAATGAGTCATGCTATCTTATGTCTAATTGTGAGCTTACATCTTTCACTTATATGATTTAACTCAAAAGTTGCCGGTCCAAATTAACAACAAAACTTCAATTATTTCAGTTTCAATTGTGATGATACTATCACTTTTGTTCTTGTTTGCACCTTAGATTGATAATCTTTCACTCGTCTGGGTATTCTACATGATACATCATCCTCTTCGGTACACTTTTCTCTCTTGCTCTTGACATGACCTAAGGAGCGACAACAGTATGCTTTCATTACTGTAGATACGAAAATCACAACCTTCTAGTATGATTGTAACACCCTCCCCACTTATACTAGTCATCATTCTCATTTGAATGGTATAAGAAACATCCCATACGAAATTCTTGCATAATTATCCTCTTATGATGATCATTGCCATTCTCATTTGAATGGTATAAGAAACATCTCATTCCAAAAATTCTTGCATAATTATCCTCTTATGATGATCATTGCCAACCGAAGACCTTTCATAGCTTTTTGGGCAGAGGTTTTTTCCACCTTTAGCACTTTTGTCATTACTGTGACACCTCACCTTTTATTATAGTCTTTGTTTTTTTCTCTAAAAAAAAATTAATTACAAATTTGATCCGAATAAAATTAAAATTTAGTCTCGATGGTTTAAATTTTCATATCGAAAATTCTAAATGAACTATTTATGAGAGTTGTATCAAGCGAGATTTTATCAAACCATAAACACAAAATTCTAATTTTTATAATCATAGAGATTTCGTTCTACCAAAACTTAATAAAAACGACAATACGACAATACAAGCAAATAACTCAACAAACTAGAATGGACAAGTCATCATTTTTCTAAAAATTCTAACACAATTAACCGAAGCTAAGGTTATTCCTTTGTAAGGACTAAAAGTGAAAAGAAAAGTAATTTTTGAAGTCAAGAATTACCTAATAATATTATTCTCAACTTACTTTAAGATAAGGTGTCTCCATCTCCATCTCCATCACATCTTGTAGGAATAAATCTTCACCAATATCATCTTGGACTTTAAGCATAGCCGTATATGAAGATGCTTTGCCTCACGTAACAAGCATGATGGAGAACAACTCAAAATTCGCCATCAATAAACATATAGCTCCAACGGAGCATCCAATATGCACTTCCTAGTCACGAGTCTTGGGAGAGCCTGGTTATAATTACTTACAGTTCAAACGAACAGCCTAACGAGACGAGTCTCATTTAATGCGCACCACACACCACCACCATGTCCTATCCAGTCACTTTTCTAGAATTTAGTATCTTACGAGTTTCCTTACAACAAATATAGCATTTTTGAGTTTCCTTACGACAAATATAGCATTTTTGAGTTTCCTTACGACAAATATAGCAAAGTACGATGGATTGTCGCGTAACAACAACTGAGATGCATGCAAACTATTTCAGACCCTTGCGAATATCCAAAAAAAATAATTGATATGGTGTAGTTATAGATTTGATGTTCTAGATTTTCCAAAGGTCAGTTTTGATATCAATTTCCAAGTTCTCTTTGAATCGATACTTTGGTTCGACATCAAGTTTGATTAAAAGAAAAAGAAAATCAAGACACTTTATCTACTTATACCCAGTGGTACTAAATAAGAAAAGTATACGTAAACAGCATACCAGATTGAGACCCGACTTTTAAAGATCGGTTGATTTGGTTTCGTACTCTTCTCTCCCATGACCTCGAACAGTGGAACTGGCCGATCTCCACAAAGTTGTCAAAAGTAGGAGATATTGGTTGGTTAAATGTCTGAAATCACCGAAATCTTGAGCATTAAGTGAGAGTCCAAATGCCTTGAAAAGTAGGTGTTAGATTAGCATATAGCATGGCCAATTAATATTCAAAGTAATGTAAAGAGAATGCAATGTGAGCTTTCAGCTGGAATCTCTAGTGCAGTTCAACATCATTAGTTGGAGTGTCATGTGTTCTTTCTAACTTTATCTTTACACCTACGGATTAGAAAGCGTTGTTTACAATAAGCTGAGAAGGCACTGTAAGAAATGGAGCCAATTTTGATCCCTAAAGTCGAGCGGCAGTGAGGTGCAATTACTTCTCTATATATGTCACTGGCTCGTAAAGGAACTAACAAATCCAGCCTCTCAAATATGGGGGTCTTTTATCAAGAAGACCCACCAAATCCTTCTAAGAAATCCTTTCTAGCAGCTGCTTTGAAGGATGCATTTTGCTACTGCCATACTTTTAGCAGACAGCTAACAAATTCAAACGCAGAGGACATATATCCTACGAGTGACTTCGACGATGAAGAGGAAGTACTCATCAGCTAATTCTTTTGTATTCTCTTTCATCTTATATGTAATATGTTTCTCTTAAGTTTTTTATCTTCTTCTCAGGAAATTGTATCAGAAATCAGAAGTCGAGCAATGGAAAAGTTGAGACGAAAGACTAACCTGTCGGACAGCTTTTCCTGGGTTTTCTCACCTGCAACCAAAGAATTGTATATAACATCAATGGAGATTGAGAAAATGGGTGAGTCTAGAAATGAAGATAACACAGGAGATGAATTCTACTCAGTTCAGAGTTTTCTCACATGTTGTTCGAGTGCTGCAACCAAGGAAGCATTCTTTTCTGTGGAGGCCAACTTTTCCCAAGGTTCGAGCTTAAATGGTCTTGATTTTGTAGACGAAGATCTCAAGAGGCATACTGCCTTGCAGGAACTTTGTCATTGTGAAGGATGGCCGTTCGGTCTTTGCAGGAAGGCACTGTTCCTTCCTCCTCTGCCCAAATCGCCGTCTGAATCTTGGTCATGGAGTAAATGGAATAAAGGCACCAAAGTTGTAAAGACATATTGATGTCCAAGTCCTGTGCTAAGTTTCGATGGCAATGTTGGGAGTGAAGAGTCCAACAGACCTCCTCCAAGCTAGTGGTCTGATTATATCCAATTTTCACCTCTTCTTTACTTCATAAACATATGCTTTAACACTTAAGTTATTAATAACAATTACGCAGTTACTGTAGCAATAATCGGAGTTAAGGTCGGCTCCACCACAGATCACACAGAACAACATAAAACTCAGAAATGCAAAAATTTAGAAACTGACGATATATACTCATAGAAGAAACCGAATAATTGGTAAACAAATGAGGATGTTAAATTCTGTTTACTCATTCCTCAAGGTGAGATCTTATTCAATTGCCATTAACTCCACGGTTAATTGGTTTTGAGAGAAGATGCACAATAAAACATTGAAGAACATACACTCAAACTAACGGAAGCTTGCAATTACAGCCAAACTTTCAAAGGTGCCAAATTTATGCTCTTTGCTCGACATATGACCCTGATAGACCAGAGGTTCCCAGCACAGAAACCTGTCATAAAACAAAAAAGAAGACATGGTAAACACAACCAAATGATCAATTTCATTTATTAAACGAACAAAAGCGTGCAACGATGTAATGAAATTTATGCTCTTTGCCAGATTACATATCGGAACTTGTGTACCTTTCCCCACTCAGATCCAAGGCCACTGCATCTCATTTTCAAGTGAATCATCTTTGTTCCCAACTCTGTTTCCACTTTCTTTTTCAGATAGTTTTCCTCAGGACCAAATGCATCCAAGTAGGAAGTATAGCGATCATGAACCGTCTGTAGTGCATTCTTAAGCTCATCGGACAAAGGCTTAACATCCTGCAGATGGACTCAGAAGTTTTAACTTGATAAAAAACGGGAGAAGAAAATAACTTAGGCCTCATTCAATAACCATTTTTAGTTTCTGTTTTTAAAATTTATGTTCGTTTCCTCTCAAATTCTTTCTAATAATTCTCACAATTTTAAAATAAACAATTTAATTTTGAGTCAAATTCCAAAATACTTTTTTTAAAAACTACTTTTTTGAGTTTTCAAAACTAAGATTTTTACAAAACAGATAACAAAAACAAAACAAAACAAAACAAAACAAAACAAAACTCATAGGTGGAAGTAGTGTCTATAAGTTTGATTTTCAAGAACTAAATGGTTTCAAATGGGGTTTGAATTTGATAAATCTATAATTTCCAATACCTCGCCGCTAAGACCAATGCTATCATCGATTTTCATTTTCAAGCTGGTAAGTATACCACCAAACTCCTCGGATGCTTCAGCTGCTCGGAAAACATTTTCCACAATTTCCTTTCCGGCCTCATCGTTGGTGCTTCCAGATAATGCTACCTTCACATCATAAACAACAGACTCAGGAAGATTATCCCAACTTGCGGCCATCAAATCCTTGAAAGCATTCTGAAGCTTGGAATCTTCAATTGTAGGCATATGAGCTACATCAACACTAAAAAATCTAGCGTGCCCTACGCCAGATAGATAGCCACAATCTGCCGAAATTTACCAGATGAAACATGAATATGATATCGTATCAAACATTATAATACTGAAAAAACAATTGAAGTGTCTATGTAGATTTTTCAGTCACTCTAGATAATCGTGGCAGGTTGGGGCAGTAAAATTTGTACAATGCACAATTGCTGCACAGAACATGTTGAAATTTTTAGCTTCTCCCATGGATCTTATCTTTTACGAATTAATCAAACTATATGTTTGCTATCAGGAATGATATTCAGTTTTGGAAAGGTAAATGACTTCTAAAACTCCACTTGATATTCCTTGCTCTCCATTACAAGATTGATTTTCTTGCAATTCTTACAAAGGCATTGCTTAAAATTTATATTTCACAACAAAATTATCTACAAATTGCAGACTGTGAAGGCTTCTCGCACAGTCGACTTCATGATAAATATTAATACAGTAAAGAATATAGCTATTTACTGTACAAATACAGCAAACAAAACTTTGAATTGAAAGAAATACATCTGCATGTACACTCGATGAAGGAAGAACCATCCACAAGTATATCAACAATCATTAAATAAGTTAAATAAAGAATAGTGCATAACTTCGTCAGAAACCCCACACTTCCGTGCAAAATCAATCCGGAGACATTTGAATCTATAAAAAAAAAAATTACGAGTACAACAAATTAAAAGGAGTACCATAAGAAACTCTCTGCGGAGAATCTGAGAAAGAAGAACGAGGCGACGATAGATGGGAGAAATTCCGAGCGGCCTGGTAGTGACTTTGCAATAAACTCCGGTGTCGGACGCCGGCGATGCTGTAAGATCCGGCGCGGACAGAACGCAATAGTGATCTAAGAACAACCATTTTCTCCATCGCTTTCGCTTTTTCCTCGGACTGCAAAATTGAAAGCCAACTTCGGAGGCTGGAGGAATGATGGAATGAATCGAAATGATGGGGGAAGAAAAAAACAAGAAGGGTAAATACGTAATTACACACATTACATTGACACCTGTCACTCTCACCTTCTACTTCATTTGTTTTTATTGTTGGGCCATTAGAAGCCCATGGCCCAATCCTCACATTTTGGATAATTTTTTGTTTTTTTATTTTCACAGTTCATTTATAGAATATGATATATTCTTTAATTTTTTTTATTTTCTTTATAGACTTTTAATTTTAATTTAAATTAATATTCCTAAATAAATTATAGATAAAATGTATTGAACAATATAAAGTTATTTTTAAATTTTAGGTTAGAGGTAATGTAAAATAATATAATTTAATTATATTATATCAAATGTTTTAATTCAAATATAATATAAATTTATTTTTAAATAATGAAAATTTTGAACTGAGAATTGTAGGGCTTTACCCCGAAGGGAGCCCTTCCAGAAATTCTCGAAGGCCTGAGCCAAACCCAGGCCTAAGAGGGGGTTTGGAAATAGTTTTCAACCAGCAATTGACGCGCCTCGGTTAGAACCTCACTAGCTGCGTCATTGCCCCAAGCGCAAAGATGGCTATTGCACAACACTTCGCTTCCCTTTTATAGCCCGACTGCAGAGTTGCACTTTCACGTTTTCCGATGTGGGATTCAAAAATTTAATGCAAAAGCTTTTTAAACAATTCGATAATTTAATTATTTTGTTTTTTAATAATTAATTTTCGGAATGTTTTCCTAATCATATCAAAAATATCAAATAAATGGTAATAATAATTTTAATTAAACTTGGTAAATAATATTATAATTTATATCTTTCATTCAAAAAATTCCTATAATTCATACCTATTTAATATAATTCAATTTTTCTTTTTTCTAAAATATTCATATTTGAATTGGGAATTTTTTTTTGAAAATTTCAGACTAATTGGCACACAACCTAACTCAACACGACGTTCAATTTTCAGACTTGTTAGGTTGGGTTGGGTTATACGAATGTTTTTTTTTTAATTATTTAAAAAACTCTTATTTATTCACCGTAAATATTATATTAATAACTGAAATTTCATAAGACTCAAATATCAAATATTCGCTGGTTATACTACATCATTAACATCAATTACAAACATCAAATAGAAAAAATAAGGTACGAGTTAATCCAATAAAAAAAAGTCAACCCACGAACTGACACAAATTATAAAATCGAAATATTGCATTTTTATTTTATACAAATAATAATAATAATAATAATGATTTAAAAAAATTAAATTTTAATTACTTAAATAAATTTCAAAATATTGCATTTTTATTTCTAAATTTTATTCCTAAAATTTGAATTTAGTTTACATTATATATTTTTAACATTTTACACCTTAGACCTTCAATTTTTACTAATTTTTCGTTTTATTTTATTTTATTTGTCATTTCTGTTAATTAGTTAATTTAAATATTTAGTTTCACTATATTCCATCACCCATAAAAATTAATTTAAAAAATTAGACAACCCTAAACCCTAAGTGGAGGACCAAAAAGATATTAAATTAAAAACTCAAAATTGAGGGGTAGAAATATAATAATTTAAAATTTAGGGTCCAAATAGATATTAAATTTTAAAACCGAGCAAAAATGTAACATTTTGAAACTTAAAAAGACCAAATGAAATCTAAACTCGAATTTGAAGCATCTATAAAAAAAGACCATGGATGTAATTTTTTTTACCTTGTAAGAGCTTGTTCATTAGTTTCAGCATCAGAAGCTTCAAAGACACCGGTTTCCAAATTAACTCTAGACACGGGTTTCTTCAACAAATTTTCACCAACCCTAACAAGATCATCCAAGTTCTTCTTCGTGGCTATGTCCACCGACGATACTACGCTGCTCAACATATCGTCCTATAATCACGACGGTTCACTCAAACATGACAATCCACCAAGATATCAAAACAAGAACAAGAATAAGAACAAAACCTGTATTCGAAGATAGTTGTTTTCGCAACGAAGGGCTTTGAACACGACCGAAAGATGAAGATCGACCATATCAGAACTTGCATGAGAAAACACGTCGATGATCGGCGTTGAACCGCTAGCAGTCAGCCATTGCAACAGCCCCCATTTGGCTGCTTTCTCTGCTGTGTACTTCATTTCATCTTTTGGACAGCCAGTCCCCAATGATATTACCACAAATCTTGAGTAATCCGTTGGTTTTATTGCGAAGAAATCAGGATTTCCTTTCAATGCCTCCTTCGTCACCTCACCCATAGCCAACAATGTCTGCATGCTTTTGAATTAGATTCTAATATCCACTGTTCATCGATAACAAGAATTTATCATATATATTTAGATTTATGAGATTTCATTTTCAATCTTAGAGTATTATTTCTAAAATTTTAAGCTACGGTCGGTTAGTACTCATTATGGTATTGATTAGTTATGAAACTTACTAAATTAGGGTTTCGGTTTTAAGTTAATATACATCGTGTTCAAGGCTTTAAAACGCGTCTGCTAAGAGAAGGTTTCCACACCCTTATAAAGGGTGGTTTGTTTTCCTCTCCAACCAATGTGAGACATCACACCTAACACCGTTGTTTCCTATGGAAATATTAAGGTATTAGGGGAAGGAATCAACTTTTCAAAGCTACCCTAAAACACGAACAAGCCACCAATCGTATCCCGATGTAAAACAAACA